GAAGAAATGTTCAAAATCCCTAGCTCTAAGAGAGATGCAAATTAAAACAACTATGAGATATCATCTCACCCCAGTCAGAATAGCAAAATTTAACAGAATAGCAAGCAACAAATGCTGGTGAGGTTGTGGAGAAACTGGGACCCTTATTTACTGTTGATGGGAGTGTAAAATGGTGCAACCCCTGTGGAAAGCAGTATGGCGCTTTCTCAAAGAGTTGCAAATAGAGATACCAGATTTGACCCAGCAATTCCACTACTGGGAATATACCCCAAAGATACCATAAGTGACATCCAATCATATATATGCACACCCATGTTTATTGCAGCTTTGTTCACAATAGCAAGGAGTTGGAAACAATCTAGGTGCCCATCAACAAATGAATGGATAGAGAAGCTGTGGTATAGTCACACAAAGGAATACTACGCTCCATTGAAAAACAAGGAACTCATGCAAAATAAATGGTTGACTCTGGAGAACATTATGCTGAGTGAAGTATCCCAGTCACAAAAGGACAAATATTGAATGGTGCCACTGTTGTAGAACGGGACTGATCTTGGGTTTGGGGAGAGACTGAGAAAGATGGGTTCAATAATGTATACTGCACTGAAACAGATGAGGGAGAAAACTGTTTAAAAGGGATATGTGATTAGGTATTTCTGTCATGACAGGAGTCTAGTGCGATGGCTACATGATGGAGTGGACCTGGGGGAGGGTTTGTAAAACAATGAAAGAATTTTTCTTTTACTTTTCCAAGAGGGTAGTGTTCTTCGGGTGGGGGGAGGCTTGGGAGGGGAGAAATGTGTAACAATGAATGAATGGAAATCCAAAGCCTCTGTAAATTTTTACTGAAATTTATAATAAATGTAAATTTTTTAAAAAATTAAGTTACAGTGAGGAAGGCAGTTGATTTATAACTGCTCATGCTAATAACACTATATCGTGGCATGGAGGAGGAACAGTGGAACTGTATCCACATTTACAGCATTCTTACCAAAATAATTTACAAAAAATAGGAACTGCATTGGAACATGTATCTCTGGATTGGAAATGATCATATTGTTAATATTTCTAGCCTTAAACTTAAAAGATTATAATGTTCAAAATTATTTGTTATACATTGTTTAAATTTTTCCCTCTTTTAACAACTGGGATCTTAGAGGGAAAAGAAAAGACAAGAGAATGGCCAAAATTATTGGGGCAGCTATTGCTGCCAGTTTAGGGCCTATGCCAGGAAAAGGAAGTCTTACTCATAAACAGTGCCACCGAAAGGTAATAAAGGAGGTCAGAATTGCTTCCACTGTGGAAACCTGGGCCACTTCAGTAGACAGTGTCACAGATGAGAGACACAGATAGGCAGGAGAGTAGAGAGGAAGCTCCCACGCACTTGCTTTAAATGGGGATTTGAAGGACACATGGCCAAGGGCGGCCCACATCACGTCCTCGTGGCTGACAGGACTGACAGGCCCCAGCTCCCAGCTGGAAACAAAGGAGGATGCTTCAACAATTTAGATCCTCCCAGAAGAGCTGTGGGTGAGCATTAACATTACTGGTAAGTATATTCGTTTTCTCCTGGACACAAGAGCCTACTATTTGGTCCTAAAAGCCTTCTGAGGTCCCAAGTCTTCTCACTATTTCTTAGTTGTTGGAATTGATGGAAAACCTCATAAGCAGGTCCTTACTTCAACTGTGCTTTGCATGCGAACTTCCGAGCTGTAAAAAACCCAGTGGTAGATGGAATTTGCTCCAGGACTTAAGAACAATAAATGACAGAGTTGAGCCTCTACATCTTGTGGTTCCTAACCTTTATACTATAATAGACAAAGTGCTAGTCAATAAGCCTTTTATTTTAAGAACTACCTTTCCTCTGTAACTTTACTTGTGCCACTGTTAGAAGCTCTACTTGGAATATTATTGCTTTTAATTTTTGAGTTATGTGCTTTTAACTTGTTAGTTAAATTTGTGTCTTCTAGGCTGCAACACCCCCATGATACAGCTTCAAGGATATGAACACGTA